GACAGCAGCACCTTCAGGGGCGTCTGGTTCAGTGGGTAAAAGGCCAAGTGCAGATCTTCCAAATCTGTGTTATCAGGGAGGAGGCAACGATGGCTGGGTGCCTGTGAGTGTGGTCAGATGTCACTGTCACCGCTTGTTCCAACACAGAGCAGGGTTGGGGCTGCTTTGTCACCACACAGCATCTTTGGGAGCAGGGAAGATGGCCAGGCGGATCCCCAGAGCCCACACAGGAAAGGCACGGAGGGTGGTGCCCGGGGAAGAGATACCTCCCGGCCATGCCCTGAGAACCACTCAGGGCCCCCGAGATGACTCAGGACCCTAGAACTGACTGGTGACCCCACAGTTCTCATCAAGCTCATTCTGAGTCATGTTACGGCCGTGAGCTGGGAAGGAGGCATTGTTATGATGGGGATCCGTCTGTTCAAGAGCGTGGTCACAGGGATCCCCGGCCACACAGGGTACCGAGGCGTGGGGCCTGCAGCTGGTGTCCTCCCAGCTCTGTGGTGCGAGGGCTGAGACACATCCAATTCTCAAGTGTTACTGGGACAAAGCTTTGCCCAGGACCCCAGGGAGTCACCATTGACCCTGCCCTCCCCTGCCATGGGGCTCTGGCAACTTTGGAAGTCAGAGCCGCCAAACGGAGCCATTAGCATGGCGGTGGGGGAGACCGCAGCTGCCATCTGGGGTGCTCAGCTCCACCACCGTGGCCCAGGGACATTTCTTCCCTGGCAGAGACACAGGCAGGGCCTGAGAGCCTGGCCTTCCCCGCTGAGGCGGGTCTCTGGTGATCGGTGCAGCCCCCTGGCTGAGCACTCCCAGGCATGTGGGAGCTCCTGGACCACAGTGGAGTTGTCCCAGCTTGTCCCCCAACTGTACCCACCCCGGGCCACCCCCCTCCGTCTCAGCCCCGCCCCTAGGCATCCAGAAAGCCCACTGCCCTCAGTGAATAGCTGTGTTTCATCCCAGAATCCCCCTGTCTGGGGCCTGCTGGCGTGGGGAGGCCACACGTCACGTCCATCCCATTCCTCCACAGGCGTTTTGGGATCATACGTGACAGTATCACTGTGATCATGTTGGCTAATTTCTTTTATATATCAGCTTTATCGAGATATGATCTATACACCATTTAATTTACTCAAAGCGTGGAGTTCAGTGAGTTGTGGTAGCTTCACAGAATTACACCGCCACCACCAATTTCAGAATGTTTTCCTTTAACCAGAAGGAAACCTTTGTCCCTGAGTAGCCACGCCACTCTCCCTTCCCCACCCCAGCCCCGGCAACCCCATCCCCCTCACCATGGCCTCACCTGGTCTAGCTTCCCTCTCCCAGGGAGCCCCAACCTGGTAGGTGCGGGGCCTGAAGCTCCCACGGAGCGTGGCGTCCAGTGTTTTTGTGTGGTCAGGGCGTGGTGCCCTTCAGGTTCTCTCGTTGGTGTGGTCAGAGCATGGTTTCTTTCCTGGCTGAGTGACGCCCATGTGTGGCTGCCCATACCTGTCTGTCCATGGTGCCGGCCGCGTCCACCCTGTGGAGATGATGGTGGAAAAGCCGCTGTGAACATTGGTGCGTGAGGCCCTCGTGGACACATGCCATCTCCTGAGCGCGTGCCTCAGCGTGGCCTTGGCATGGAAGGGCTGGGTCACAGAGTGGCTCCATGTGTGGCTGGGTGGCTATTTCCTATCCAGATCTCCTCTGGGGGCCAGGCTGGGACAGACACATGGGGAAAGCCAGGGGTGGATGATAGACACCCGGGGACACTCACCTCAGGCATGAGGACACTGCAGGGTGCCCAGCACGAGGATGCAGGACCCAGGGCCCGAGGGTGGCATGGGACCCGGGACACTGCTGCTGCCATCAGCGGCCCTCGTGGCTTTCTCTGTGGAAACAGTGGCTCAGTGTCAGTGCTGGTGTGGGGGTGGCCCCGCTGGGCTGCGCGTCCTGGCCGGTCTGGGAGGCTCCTGGGCTGGCCAGCCTGCCTGTGTGGAAACCTTGAGGGCATGGCAGGGAAGCCTCCCGATGACTCAGGCTGCAGGGAATTCCCTAATGATCTGGAATATTTTTACTCCTGCACTCGGCATGGTTTCCTCCTGAGAACTCGGAGCACTGATAAGGCTGAACACAAAGGCCCTTTCAGGGCCAGCTGCCTGCCTTCCTGCCAGAGGCTGAGTTTGGAACAGCGCGGGGCCGGCCCTGCCCCCCGGGCCTCTGGGGAACGCGGAGCCGCCAAGGCGGTGCTCTCAAGGGCAGCGGGACACGGGCCTGTGCACCTCCTTTCCTGAGGTGTGTGGCTCTTCCCATCTGTAAACAGCCTCAGCCCCTTGTCTGTTCCTGAGGCAATTGCTAGACAGACATTTCTGGCCACAAACATATACAACCTTTGAAAGACGATGTCTTTATAATCCTCAAACAGAAGCAGAAAGCCTGCCGTCACCCTCACCCTCACCTTGGTTGGCTGTGAAATGGTCGTGGACGTCGGAGGCTGCAGGGAGAGAGGCCGTCTCTGAGATGGAGGGAAGGTACAGGTGCTGGTTCGGCCGCATCTGTGAGGACAGTCGGGACGTGTCGGGACCTGTCGGCTCCCCACACTTTGAGGGGACATCTAAGCACCTCTGCTCCCACCTTGCACAGGAGTGCTGGGCGTGAGCGCTCCCAGACAGGGTATGGGGCAGGCCGCCCCGTGGCAGGTGCTGAGCTGGGCCTGGCCGGCCACACGGACAGGGCTCCCAAAAGGCATGGAAGGAGAAAGACAGCCCCATGCTGTCTCTCCATTTGCTTTTTCATGGACTCACCACTTTGGGAAGATGCCTGGAGGAGGCCTCGGGGTAGAGGGCCGGAGGAGGCCTCAGGGTAGACGGCCGGAGGAGGCCTGGGGGTAGACGGCCGGAGGAGGCCTCGGGGTAGACGGCCGGAGTCCCTCTCCATTCTCAGGACATAAACAGGAGCAGGTTTTGTTGGCCTCTGCTGCAAAAATGGTGTCTCCTCCTTTAGGGTGACATGAAACACGACGTTCTGGCCCTGTGTGTGCCTCAGTTTCTCTCCTGCTGCTCAGTGTGGGCACTGACCCTCCCTCCCCTTCCCAGTACCAAAGGCCTCCGCAGCCTCAGGGAAGTTCCGATGGAAACAAGCTGTGACTGTCAGCTTCTCTGGCAGAGCAGAGACCAAGCCACGGCCAGTTGTGCCTTGGAGTTTCCAAGGACACAGGCTTTTGTGGGGTGGGGACGGGGCCTCACCCCACAGATGGGCTTTGTTGTAAGAAAACTTCAAAAGTTGTTTTAAAAAGGTACCAAGAAACCAGAAGACTTGATTACACAAAGGTGATTGGATTTTTATGCGCTGGGGGTGGGGGCTCCATGGCCGCGCTGGGCTGCGGGCTTCTGGGAACCCCCGCCACCAGCACCTGTGCTGGAGTGAAAGCGTCTCCTTCCCCTGGGCTCCTGAGTGCTCCAGAGCCTGGAGGACTTGCTGCTTCAAGAAGGGCAGGTGCCCTCAAGTGCTAAGGAGTACTTTTAGTTTCCTGTTACTTCTTTTCTAGAGGAGAGTGGGATGCTGGCCCATCTGGTGCGTAATTTGCGTGTGGGCCTCAGGCGTCCCGAGGCTGGCGTGGCTGGGACTCGCTGGGCGACTCTGGTCCTGCAAACATGACTCACATTTCCTCTCTCCACCCTCCACCAGGCAGCAGCGCGTCTCTGTGACAGAGAAAAGGAGACTTTGTCTGAGTTATCAGTAATTCAGGGTTTGCAACAGACACACATTTTCTTCTTTGTAGACAGAGCACAAGGATAAACTTAAGTGTTGACACCTGGAACTGTTCTTTTTGGGAACAGACTTTATTTTGGAGAAGATACAAGAGAGGAAGAGACTCTGTAGGAAATTGAGATCCGTTAATTCAAGATAATTGCCCCAAACTCAGCCGCCTGAGGGACCGGGCCGTGCACACGCCCAGGGTGCGTCTCAGCCACCTTGGCCGGGCATGGAGTGCCCCAAACTCAGCCTGCCTGAGGGACCGGGCCGTGCACACGCCCAGGGTGCGTCTCGGCCACCTCGTCCGGGCATGGAGTGCCCCAAACTCAGCCTGCCTGAGGGACCGGGCCGTGCACACGCCCAGGGTGCGTCTCGGCCACCTCGTCCGGGCATGGAGTGCCCCAAACTCAGCCTGCCTGAGGGACCGGGCCGTGCACACGCCCAGGGTGCGTCTCGGCCACCTCAGCCGGGCATGGAGGGGAGAGAATAGCATGTCCTTTCACTGCACTTCTGGGAGCCTTTTTATTTTTTAAAAACATGCAAATGGCCACTGAGGAAAAGCTAAAAATACCCTCGTGTTTTGCATTTCTGTCTCCTGATGTGCATGAAGTTGTCAGAGGAAGGTTTTCTCATCACCCAGGGCCAGCAGCCAGGCCCTCATCCCCCGGAGACGCTTCTGCTCCCCAAATTCCCGGAGCACAAGCAGGTGGCACACCCTGACGTGGAGCCCCCGGCACCCGTGTCATCACCCTCACGCCTCCTGCGCCCTGGGAGGCTGGGCCAGGGACTCCAGAGCCAGGTGCAGAGCTGGGCGCAGGTCCATGCAGACGCGCGCTCTGCTGATGGGGAACCCGCTTCTCCTCACCCTGCCCTCCCGGGAGAGGACGGGGTGTGGAGACCCTCCCGCGACCTGTCCCAGGGCTGAGACAGTCCAGCAGACGTGGGGCCAGGAGAGATTCCCCAGGACACTCCTGCCCTGGAGTCCTTCCCATCCTGGGCTGGGGTCAGAACAAGCCCTGAGCTGCGTGTCATCCGCCTCTCCAGGCTCACAGAGGAACTTTGGCGTTGAGCTTGGGGCCTGACCGGGGCCTGTGGCTCCTGAGGTGCTGCTCTCGACGAAAGCCCTGGGCTGGGCCTATGTGGGTCTCCTGGGACTAGGCGCTCTCCTGGCTCAGGGCCCTGGGTCTGCATCACGTGGGGGCTTCTGGGGAGGGGCTCCCCGCCACACAAAGTCACAGACGTTTCCTGCTCCTTTCTTGCAGATGGCCACCATGTGTGGGAGATGGAAGCGAAAACCGACCGTGACCTGTACAAGCCGGTGAGTGCCTTTGGTCCCCAGGGCCTTGGGAGGCTGGGGTCTGCCTGGGCCACTTTGGGTCCCCGGGGCCTCGGGAGGCTGGGGTGTGCCTGGGCCACTTCGGGTCCCCGGGGCCTCGGGAGGCTGGCGTTCCTGTTTGTTAAAATGAAACAAATGAAAATAACGCACAGAGTAACAGAACCGGTGACAGGATCACCAAGTGCTTGCTGAAGTGCCGCGTGATGTTAGCCAAAGCGTAAGGGTCAGGTCAGAGCCCTGGCAGCTGGGACCAGTGCTGGACAGGCCAAGGCCACCTCACATACCGCAGTGCTGAGACAGCTGGAAAGGGTCCCACACGGACCCTCCACCCTTTGCTGTCCCTTCGCCGTCTCCGTCACCCAGCATGGAGTGGGCCCCCGGGAGTTGGTGCTGTCCTGAGCTCCTGGCCACGCCTGGGGGTGGCCAGCACCTGCCTAGACACAACCCGCACCGCCAGGGCTCTGCGGCGTCCCCAGCTGGGACTCCTCACCCCACCCTCCCTGAGGCTGCCTCTTGCACCAGCCTTCCCTGTGACGGGGACCCAGGCATGAGAGTGGGCACGCGTGTCTGTGGGGTTGTGCCTCTGCTGTCACCAGGCTGTTTCCAGACCCCCCAGTCACCTGCCACCGCTTCCGGATGCCACGTGCACGCTGTGGGTGCCTGAGAATAACGCCCCTTCTTGATCGGTCGGTCGTGGAGACGACCTTTACTCTGGACGACCGTAGATGCTCCCGCGTCTCCCCCATCCCTGTGCTCGTGAGCTGTGCGTTCACGTTTCAAGTGGGGTCTTAAGACAGCGTGGACTTGGTAGTGTCTTTTGATCTGCTCTGAGGCTGTCGCATGTAGACCATTGATTGTGGTGTTTCGTTTTGTTATGTTTTTGTTTTTTGGAGATGGAGTTTTGCTCTTGTTGCTCAGGCTGGAGTGCAACGACACGATCTCGGCTCACTGCAGCCTCCGCCCCCAGGTTCCATCATCGATTCTCCTGCCTCAGCCTCCTGAGTAGCTGGGAGACAGGCATGCGTCACCACACCCAGCTCATTTGTATCTAAGGGAAGGGGTTTCTCCATGTTGGTCAGTCTGGTCTTGAATTCCCAACCTCAGGTGATCCCCAGGTGCTGGGAGGACAGACGTGAGCCACCGCGCCAAGCCTGGTGTTACTATTAATACAGTCGGATCGATTCCTACATAGAGTTTTTTGAGTGTTCTACTTAGTCCTACAAAAGTAGTAGAAATCTTTAGACCAACGTAAGATACCACATGGCTCCCAAGGGGGTTTTGAAGGCATTCAGGGCGTCCTGAGCTCAGCAGCATGTGCCCCTGGGTGGGGCCAGTGAAGTCTTGTGCACACGCTCAGCGTGTGCAGGTGGAAGCCGAGCCATTAGGAAACCTTGGGGGAGAGCTGCTCTCGGATGGCTGGAGGCAGGTGGGCAGGACCCCAGGGAGGGGTGCTGAGGTCATCTCCTCTTGGTGGGAGGGGTCGTGGCCTCCATGGAGAGCAGTGCTGTGATCTTCACTCCCTGTCCCAAGAGGCGACTCTGTCAGAGAACAGCGCCTTCCACCCTGCGGCGACTCCAGCACCTTCCTCAAGGATTCTTCCCTTCTCAGAACCCTTTCCACGTAGTTTCAGATGGAAGAGCCTCCTCCCTGGCCCTGGGCGACGCCGGCATTCCCCAGTGAGCTCACCTGCACCTCGGTTGTGCCCAGGTCTCCCCTGAAGCTCCTGGTGCTCATGGGGCTCCAGTTCAAGCCTGTCGCTTTTCTTGCCTTCACCTGAGAAGCACCTCCGGGAAAGCTGGAGGCCCCGGGCAGGCCAGCATTCAGATGAAGGAGTTCTGGTCTACGCACCCATTGCCCGCAGAGCTAGGAGGGTCTTGGGAACAGCCACCCACGCAGCCTGAGCCGCTGCACTGGCTTCTCCTTCCGTGGCCCGTTCTGCGTCCATAAGATCCATGACGCCCCGCTGGCCGGGCGTTTGCAGCTGCCTGGGCTTGCGGTGGGCAGTGCCCAGAGGGCTGGCAGCCTCCGTTCATAGGGTCAGTGCCCGGCCTCCCCACCTGCCAGTGTCTGTGGATTCGTTCCCTCCCCACCGGGCTGCTCTTGTTCTGCTGTGCGTCTGTGCTGGGCACTGACACCTGGGCTCTCCGGCCCTCTGCATGTGGGCAGTGTGGCCTCGTGCCACCCAGCCTCCCTGGCTCCAGCTCTGTCAGGGTCTCCACAGGCTTTGCCAGGCCCACACATGCATGCGGGACACAGGACGCTGGATGTAGGAGCTGCGCTGCCCAGCCCACCCTGGGCAGAGCAGCCAGGAGAAGCCATGAGCCTTTCCACATTGAAAACAGTTCCAGCCAAGCTGACATCCACGTTCTCTGTGGTTTTCTTACTTTTGACACTGCATGTTTTGAAGGACACTAAAGAGCTGTATGTTTTAAAACAAACTTCAGAGCACATGTGGAAAGCTATGTACTTGAAGTTTACTGTTTATTCTTTTGAGACAGTCTGACGCTGTTGCCCAGATTGAGGTGCTCGCCTCCCGAGTTCAAGTGATTCTTGTGCCTCAGCCTCCCGAGTAGCTGGGACCGCAGGCGCCCACCACCGCTCCTGGCTAATTTTTTTGTATTTTTAGTAGAGACGGGGTTTTGCCATGTTGTCCAGGCTGGTCTTGAACTCCTGACCTCAGGTCATCCACTCGCCTCGGCCTCCCAAAGTGCTGGGATTATAGGCGTGAGCCACTGCATCTGGCCTACTGTTTCATTTTTAATCTCTTAAATGAAGTTTCCTTTAATAAATTTCTTTTGTCATCATAAAGGAACCTCATAGTCACCATGGACATTTGAATGGTATAAAAAGCAAAACATGTAACCTCACCCACTTAGGTATAACCCCTGCGGGCACTGGGCATGCTTCCTGCTCCGTTTGCTGGTATGTGCGTAGATGTTCATGCACACACACACATTACATACATTATATTGTGCGTGTGTGTGTGTGTGTGTGTATATTTTTTTGAGACAGGGTCTGGCTCTGCGGTCCGAGCTGGAGTCCGGTGGCTTGATCACTGCTCACTGCAGCCTCGACCTTCTGGGCTCAAACAGTTCTCATGCCTCAGCCTCCCTAGTAGCTGGGAGCACAGGTGTGCCTTACCCTGCCCAGCTAATTTTTAATTTTTTGTGGAGGTGGAGACTTGCAATGTTCCCCAGGCTGCCCTTGAACTCCTGGTGTCAAGCCGTCCTCCTGCCTTGGCCTCTCAAAGTGCTGGGATTACAGGCATGAGCCACTGGGCCCGGCCTGTGTGTGTGCTTTAAACAAAACGGGAGGTGCTGTGTAAACGGTGTTTGAACTTTCTGAGGCTCCGTGTGTGAGCTTCATCCCAGCAGTGGGGTTTTAAGGCAGGTCTCATGGGTGCAGGTGCCGTTTGGAGCCCGTGTTTTTACCAGTGTGGACGACTTTCCTCTCCTGTGCGGTTCTTCAGTGCTGCTGCTTTATGACGTCCTCTGTGTATTTGAGGGGCAGTGCTCCCACAGAGATAGTACTTTTGTCATATAATTGGTCTGTTTAGACACTTGAAGTGGGTTGGCTTGTGCCCACATCAACACAGGACCTTCCGGGCAGGTAGGGCCCAGCAAAACTGGTACAAAACGTCCAGCCTGCCCCATGGCATCCTGCCTCCATCTGCCCCACGGGGTACCCCTCAGTCCAGCCTGCCCCCTGGGGTCCCTGTCCCCCCCATCCAGCCTGCCCCACCTGGTCCCCACCTCCACCCATCTCAGCAGGGTCTCTGCCTCCGCCTGTCCAGCCTGTCCCACAGCCCCACCTCTGCCCATTTCACAGGGTCCCACCTCTGCCCATCTCGGCCTGCCCCACAGTCCCGCCTCTGCCCATCTCGGCCTGCCCCACAGTCCCGCCTCTGCCCATCTCGGCCTGCCCCACAGGGTCCCGCCTCCGCCCATCTCGGCCTGCCCCACAGGGTCCCGCCTCTGCCCATCTCGGCCTGCCCCACAGTCCCACCTCTGCCCATCTCGGCCTGCCCCACAGGGTCCCGCCTCCGCCCATCTCGGCCTGCCCCACAGTCCCGCCTCTGCCCATCTCGGCCTGCCCCACAGGGTCCCGCCTCTGCCCATCTTACCCTTCCCCACAGAGTCCCGCCTCTGCCCATCTCGGCCTGCCCCACAGGGTCCCGCCTCTGCCCATCTTACCCTTCCCCACAGAGTCCCGCCTCTGCCCATCTCACCTGCCCCACAGGGTCCCGCCTCTGCCCATCTCACCTGCCCCACAGTCCCGCCTCTGCCCATCTCGGCCTGCCCCACAGGGTCCTGCCTCTGCCCATCTCGGCCTGCCCCACAGTCCCGCCTCTGCCCATCTCGGCCTGCCCCATGGTCCGCCTCTGCCCGCTCCCCGCTGCCCGAGAATGCCTCCCAGCCCATTTTTATTTCAGTCTCTGCTCCTTCGTCCCTTCCCTCAGCTGCTTCTGTTCTAAAGGCCCTCTTGCTGTAGCTGCTGACTCCAGAGCAGTTGCTGCTGAATTCAGAAAACAGTCCTGGGAGAAGCATCTCTTTATCCCCCCGTAGGAACGCCGAGACTGGTTCCGGACGGCTGGGGCTTCCAGGGTCAGCCCAGGAGATGGCCAGGCCAGGTGAAGCCAGACCCACAGTGCTCGGGGGGCAGCTCCGGGGCAGCCCAGGCCCCGCTGGCATTGAAGGGCTCCTGGCCTTGAAGCAGCTTCAGCTCTCCCGGGGAAGCTCTGATGAGGGGCAGAGGCAGGAGGACGCTCATGTGCTGTGGCTTTTTCCCAATGAACTAGAGTTCATTAAACAGACCTGCTGCTGGGAGGAGGGGTAGTCCTGGGGAACGGGCCCGGGGGTGACAGGCGGGCTTGGCCCCCCTGCAAGGGCGCCTGGGCCTCAGCTGTCTCATTATCTGTAAATGGAAGAGCTTGGACCTGAAGTTATTTTCAGTTTTCTGTCTAACATTATAAGATTTTGTTGTTAACATGATTCAATCAATTTGGTTATTAAGCTAGGTGCTGAGCTGTAATTAATTATTTTAACAAAAGAAGTAACACAATAGATTTTCTTCTGCTCGTTAAACTAAATCATATGGTTAAAAAATTAAACTATAGATGTGACTCCCCAAGGCTCTCCCCAGATGCCAAGTGCAGCCCTTGGCAGGGATGCCTGCCCCATCCCTATCGTTCAGAGTCCTTAGGACCCTGCGTAACGCTGCTGGGCCCTGAGCTCACAGTCGGGGTGTCTGTGTCCCAGCCCCCGAGCTCTGCAAACAGTCCACACCCCTCCATGCCACACAATCCCATGCCACACACTCCCATGCCACACCCCCTATGCCACACCCCCTGATGCCACATACTCCCATGGCACACTCCCCCATGCCACGCACCCCCATGCCACACACCCCCATGCCACACACTCCCATGCCACACACTCCCATGCCAAACACCCCCAAGCCATACACTCCCATGCCACACACCCCCATGCCATACCCCCATGCCACACTCCCATGCTACATCCCCCCATGCCACACCCCCTGATGCCACATACTCCCATGGCACACACCCCATGCCACACACGCCCATGCCACACACTACCATACCACACTCCCCATGCCACACCCCCGATGCCACACACTCCCATGCCACGCACCCCCATGCCACACACCAGCGTGCCACACACCCCTGTGCCACACCCCATGCCATATCACATGCCACACACCCCCATGGTTTATGTTCACGTGTGTTCTTGAAAGAGCCTGGGTTTTGTAAACACGCTGCTAACTTTTGTATTAAAAACATGAACAGGTGACGGCAGCTGCCACACGCCACCCTCTTCTGTCTGTGCTTCCATGCCTTGGCTCTTCCCACCCAGGGTCTGTGGGGGTCAGGGCCCGCCACCTCTTCCTCAGTTGGAGTGAATTTGGGTCTGACCGAGGGCTTCAGCCATTGTCAGATGTGACAAACAGGCCCTCCCTGGAGACCGCGTCTCTAGGAAGCCCTGCTCCTCCGGGCTCCACTGCAGTTACCTGCACAGGCGCTGGGACATTGAGCACAGCCATCACACTGCAGCAGGAGGCGGGGCCTCCGGTGGCTTTCTGAAGGTCACCAACCCTTCAGGGTTGGACAAGCAGAAGCCTTTTGCATCCCCGCCAGGCCCCTTGCCCAGGTGGCCCCAGTCAGCCTCCACCCTCAGGCACACGGTCCCAATTCTATTCACAGCTTCTGTTTTCCTGGCTTCTTTCCCCACGTTGACAAGATTTCCATCTTGCTGTTGGTCTTGTCAGTGTAGGAAGTCCAATCCGCTGCTCTGAGGAAGCCTCTCAACTCCAGGGTGTGCCAGAAGTCAAGGGCAGCCTCTTCCCTAGGAGACACATGCCCACACGTGCATGCCGGCGCCACGCACAGCCCTGGGCTGTCGGCGGCTGCTTCTGCACCATCCAGGTGGCTTGTCCGGAGTTAACCATCACAGTAGCCCTGTGCTGCTGTGAAAGCATGGGGGAGCTGTGTGGCCTCCGTGGAAACGCGGGGGAGCTGTGTGGCCTCCGTGGAAACGCGGGGGAGCTGTGTGGCCTCGGTGGAAATGAGGGGGAGCTGTGTGGCTTCCGTGGCACAGCAGCTCTCGCTTGCCCTGTGCTAACTGTCTGCTTCCTGTGTGCCGTTTTCCTGCTAGAATTCTCTGGTGGTCGAGATCCCGCCGTTTCGGAATCAGAGGATAACCAGCCCCGTTCACGTCAGTTTCTACGTCTGCAACGGGAAGAGAAAGCGAAGCCAGTACCAACGCTTCACCTACCTTCCTGCCAACGGTAACACCGTCTTTCTAACCTTAAGCAGTGAAAATGAGCGTGTGGGGTGCTTTTTCTAAAGACACAGAAACAGATGACGTCGCCATAAAGCAGCGGGCGTGTTGCACGTGTAACTGTGTGACGTCCCGTTAGTGAGACTGAGTCATCGATTCTCTCCAAATGAAAGGACAAGGAAGGCTTCCGATGCATTTTCCTTGATCCCTGTTGTGGGGAGTGGGGGGCAGTGTTGAATACTCAGTCGCGGTTATTGTGCGGCTTGGCGAACGTGTAACAGCCAAGGGGAGAACACGGCTCTTCTGCTCTCAAAACCCAGGAGGTCCTTTACGTGTACTAAAGCTGCTTCAGGTGAAAGGCAAATGTGCATAGCTATTTCGCAGGCACCTTTAGGAATAAACCTTGCTTTTCAGCCTGTGGTCCTGATGTGGTCTTTAAGGTGAGTGAGCTTTGTGCTGGGCGGATGTCCCCAGGATACTTCTCCAGGGGAAGTCTCATCTCCTGGGACCATGGGCATCCAGGCCGGTGCACCTCCTCCTCAACCCGCCTGCCCCTTACCCATCGTGGGAATGGCCCCTGTTCACTCAAAAAAAAAAAAAAAATCAGCTTACCTTTTTAACCTTTAGGGTGTTTTCTTAAAGGAAATACCATTGAGTGTGTGCTCTCAGTCCCTGAACCAGGAGCAGCTTCCTTTGTGGGTTCAGGCCACTCCTCCCAGCTTGGACAGGACAGGGTTAGCCTTCATCCTGAGATTTACTGTGTTTTGGGTAAGCATAGCTAATGTCAACAGTCTTTTTATATTGCTTTTTTCTAAAAACTCCAGAGATTCCTATTATCTGAGAGGGAAACCACATGCGGGGAGCTAATTACAAAAACAGTCACATTCTCTGAGTGAAATCAGGGTGTTTCCAAAGGTTTCTGTTTTCTCTGAACGTAAAGGGCATTTGTAATAGACCAGATCCTAGGAAGGCCCTCCCCACGTTTACACGAAACTGCCAGCACTCCCTGTGTCCTTAGGTAAGCTGTAGAAATACCCCTCAAGGTGTGGATACTGGGGTTTCGCTGTAAAGTCGCTGCACCCTGAGAGCATCTGTGAGACAGCTGTAGGGGTGACAGGCAGCCCCAGCCCAGCCCACACGGAAGGGCCTCGTGCTCTGTGACCCCTGGGATTTAGTGGTCTGCACCGCCCACACCTGTACCACAAGGTACAATGTATCTTACAGAAGGAAATACTGTATCTTTTTTTGAAAATATAATGATTGTGTTCTAATTAAACTTCAAGCATGGTTGACCAGAAATTGAATGTCTTAAAGAAAGCCCAGGCCTCATAAAGAAGGCTTGCTTTCCAGAGCAGCGCGTTTTTTTCTTATGTGCTGGACACGTGGCAGCCCCACCATGGGTTTACGTGGCAGCCCCACTGTGGGTTTGCGCGGCACTGAGTTTAGCACACATCACGCGTCTCAGAGGCAGAAGGGGTCTGTGCAGGGAGACTGCCAGCCCTTCGCAGGCAGCAGTGGAGGCCCCCAGGACCGTGGCCGCAGCATGAAGTTGGTGAGGCTGACCTGCTCCTGCCCCTCCTGCCCACACCCCACCCAGCAGCCAGCCATCCAGTCCTACCAGCCACCTTCCTGCCTCGGCCAGCCCCAGCACCCCTCTCAGCTCCGTGCCCAGCGTGGACGTCTCTCCTGGACCCCCGGCCCGGTACCCAGCAGCACCCTCCAACCCCAGCTGCCCCAGCATGGCCCACCACAGGCTGGGTTCCGCAGACCCGCCCCCGGCACTAGCCTTCACCCGTCCTCTCTCTTGCTGACTCCCTCATCTCTTCTTTCCCGGAGGAGCGCCACGGCTGCCAGGTGACCCTCCAGGTCCCCACGAGCACACTGACTGGCCCCACCAGCCCACAGGGGCTCCCAGCTCCCTGTCACCCCCCTGCTCCTGGGGGCTGTGACTGAATCCCGCACCACAGACTGTGATTCCCTCAGGCAGAACCCCGGGCTGCTGCTGTCAGTCAGTGTGGCTTTTAAATAAATAAACGAATGAGTGGAAACCAGCACTCAGGCATCCGTGTCCATCCGCGTCCCGCTGCACTTCCCGCCCTGCGACCCTGGCTGCGTCTGAGACGCTGAGGCCATGCCAGGGCCTGCGTCCTCCGTGCTCATGCATCTGTGTCTTGGGGTCCGGCTTGGACGGTTTCTGCCACGTGGTCCGAGAGACAGTTGGCAGCTCTCCTTCCACAGCCCTTGGAGGTGTAGCCAGGACGTGTCAGGGTGGAGGGAAGCTGGTCAGCAGGCACTGGCCTGACTCGGAGTGGCTCCTGGTTTGCTTTTTCCCCTTCCCACATGTCGCCGTGGGGTTCGTTTCACTCCAGTCTCCGCTGTGCCGAGCTCCAGGCCTGAGTACCCGGGGGTCACGGCAGCCGGGGGCAGGCTCTTAGGGGCAAGAAGTATGCTGTGGAAATGCCAAGTGGACAGAAACGAAGCACGTAACCTCCAACTGTGGGATTCATTTTGCATACAGTTTGTAGAATCAAGTCTCATTTGAGGTTTTCCTTCAGAATTGCTGTCCCCACAGGCAGGCCCCGCTGAGGGCTCCAGGGCATTTGGAATCCAAGTGCCCAAGGGGGTCCAGTGCTTGTGGGGGGCGGGGGCACGCCCCGGCTGCCAGCTGCTGTCACTCTTCATCTCAGCCCGAAGGTGTCCTCGGATGATGTGGCGGAAGATGAGCCCAGAGGCAGCCCCTGGCCCCGAGCCCCCTCCGTCCTCACGAGGCCTCCTCTCCTCTCAAGTCAGCGCGTCGCCGGGGTCAGCCTCTGGGAATCGCCGTCTGAGTGCAGAGGGCTGGTGGTCTCTGATGGGGCCCAGAGGGTCAGGCTGGTTCCTTTCACCTCCTAGGGGGGCAAGCATTAAATGGGGAAAGGTTCCCACCCGAATGTTTGAGCAGGAGTGGCAGAGCCCTCTGGGAGCCTGCAGGCCGCCCCACCTGGCACTGCGGGAGGAAAGTAAACGTGGCCCACAGTGGGAGTGTCAGACACGTGTGCCACACAGGGGCTCCCTGGAGCGGCTGGCTTGTCACTGCTTTTGTTTAACTGCGCCTGAATTTAATCATCCGGAGGTGCATCATGACGGCCGAGGGATGCCCAGGTGCCAGGAATGTCCACAGTTCTGAGAGGTTATTCTAACAAGTCAGTTAGCGTTAACGCCTGGAGTGGGGGACCTGCCCAGGCCTGGTTAGAAGGCAGCGACCGCGTGGCCTGGAGCATGTGTGAGGGGCGGCGCATGTGTCCCAGATACGAGCAGGCAGGGCTGGGAATCTGAAAAAGAAAACCAAGTTACAAACTCAAAGTCAGCTACCAACATCAGTGTTTGTTTGCAGGAGAAAATAAAACATGGCAAGTCACTAGGGCTTGGAGACTTAGGTCTTTTCATCTGACGTCGTTTTCGTCGGTTTCCTGGAAATGCTTCCAGGGCCTCTGCGCCACGCCCCCCGTGGAGCTCTTCCCCGTCCATGCCGAGGAGAAGCTGCTCCTGGCCCCAGCTCCCCGTGAAAGCACACACACCCCTGCCTCTGTTGGGATCCCTTTCATGGCCAGAGCCTCCTTCCTCAGGGGACACGTGGCCCAGCTGAGGGTCCTCTGGTGACAGGGAGTGGCTGCTGTGATCAAACCCTCCGTCACCTAAAATCAGGAGCAGCTCTGACCACGGAATGTGACGTCCGGGGTGCAAAGTCATCAGGGTGGATCTGCCTCGGGATCTGGGGGGTCCCTTGCTGTGGGTGGGCTCCAAGCCCAGACAGGAGCCAGCTGAAGACTCAAACACCACGAAGAGGGGTGGGCACCCTTCCCTCCCAGGTCCTCCCCAGCCCTCCACTGGCCCTGCCACAGCGACCTGGGCCTCAGTCTGTGTCTTCTCAAGAGCAGAAGGGGACTAGACCCCATTACTTCCCTGTCTGCAGTGGATTATTAAATGGAGAAGTGACCGTGGCATCGGAGAGGTGTCAGTAGAGAGGCTCCCGTGGGGGTTCTGTGGCCTTGGGGCCACACCAGCGATTGTCATGAAGAGAGCTGCTTGGGTGTGAGCCGGGGCAGGGGCGGCTGTGAAACGGAGGTCCTGTGCACAGAGCCCACCACCCACGGTCGACAGCCGGGGGCTTGTCTCCGCCTGCGCGTCCCAGGCAGCAGACCCGGTCTGTCGGGGAGCCCCCTCCAGATAGCGCGTCCCAGGCCCCCAGTAAGCTCAGCTGGGGTTGTGCAGGCCGAGGGCTCTAGAACCCTGCGAGGGATCGACTCGATTGCAGACGGAGCCACAGACAGGCAACCATGGGCCGCCCCTCCTCCTCGCCCTCCCCGCCCTGCTCCTCAGCTGGTGGCCTCTCCTTCTTAGGAGCTTTCCGTTCCGCCTTTTTCCTGGATTTTTGGGCTCACGCTGTCCAAGTCCACTGCACGTACAGCTCGATCCCGAGACAGTGACGTTCGTGAGTTCTCTTCAGGTGCTCAGCGGCCCCAGATTGCCCTTTAGCTGCCGTTGGCCAAAAGCACAGCCCGGGTAGCTGCGAACACCCGTGGCCTCTTCCCTCTCCTCCCCTCCCCTCCCCCCTGCACACTTGGAGGCACCCTGGGACTGGGCCTGAGCTCGGCTGTCACTGCAGAGTGAACCTGCTCGCCTCAGACCCCCACCTAGCCATGGCTCCCACATTCCGTCATCTTAGAGATAAGGAGGTGGGGCCCCGAGCACCTGTCGAGCCCCCATGTGGTGGCAGCGTGGGTGGGGGTATCTCGCCGGCATCTTTCCAGGACTGCCGGGCTGTGCCTCCGGGTCTCTCCCCACCCCTGTCCTGTTCCCTGAAATAAAGTCGCTCATGTTCCAATCCCGCCACCTTGGCGGGTGCTCCCAGCTCCTGACACGTCACCCAGTGCTGCCCTCGCAGTGCCCTGGTTTTCAGCCTCGAGAGACTCCAGGTGTCGGCCAGGCTGCAGGCGCTTCGATGCACCAGGGCGTGGTCACCGGTTC